AGTGATTGTATGAAGCTTTATATATTGCAAGTTAGAAGACATAGATGCTTCATATCTTGTATGCAGATGCCTCATGTTACGAAGTTTCCGTCTGTCATATGTCATTCTTGACCAAATTTTCCGAGGGTCATGGTTTTAAAAATGAAAGAAAAATATTTTTTCAATTTTGCTTGAGACATTATCTCTTACTCATAAAAAAAGCTTCTGTCCGTTAAATTCTATGAAGCCTTCATAGAATTTAACGGACAGAAGCTTTGTTTATGAGTAAGAGATAATGTCTCAAGCGAAATTGAACAAATATTTTTCAAGATTTGACAAATAAATTGTTGTGTAACAAACTTTAACCCCAGACTGTATCTACTTGTCCTTGTAACAGTAAAATACTGCAAAATGATTTTTTTTTTTATTATTTTGCTCTGGATACTGTCTTTTTGCCATAAAAAGCTTCTGCCCAAGTGATGTAAAATTCCATGAATATTTGACAAAAGTTATTGATGGAAAGTCTTAAAAACTTTAACCTTAGACTTTATTTATATGTTTTGTCCATTCATTAGTGAAATACGGGAAAAAGAAACAAATAGTTTCTAAATAGTGCTCTGGACGCTGTCTTTTGGTCATAAAAAGTTCTTGTGCAAATTTCATAAAATTCATTATCTGTTATGAATTTTTCACCATAAACATGCATGATTTTCATTCGATTACGCAGCCACGCTTTCTTTCTGTTAAAGAACACTTGCAACAACAATGTGATGGATTTGTACAAGTGGTTTGTTGCAAGACAAAGTGTCTCTCCCTATCCAACATACAAGATGTCGACCCACCTTGCAAAACCTACCTTTTGGATTTATTGTTAATTTTTTTCGTCGAAATAGTATAGCTTTACATTTGTAAACAGTAGAAGATTCAAACCAAAGAACAAATATTTAATATCAAAATAAGTTTAAAAAGATATAAAAAAAAATGAAAATTACTCAGATCATAAAAGTATTATCAGATCTACTACTTGCCCTGTTAATAATGCTTGCTAAAATATCTGCTGTTTTCATTTGAATGAATAGTTTAATATACTATACTGATAAAACAAATATAGCAATTGGATCAGAACTCAAATGAACTGCAAAAGGAGACAATAGGTGGAGAGAAAAACGAATAGCCAAGTTAAAGTAATAAAAAAAACTAATTTGCATTTGTTTCAAGATAAGTATAATATTGCGCAATGGTTTGGGAGACTCTTGCTACAAGGCGGTCTGGTCCCCTGTAATACACCTCATTATTCCTCTGCAGGTTGGGCACGTGCATAGTCACCTGGTGTTATTATTTGTATATAACAATGTATCATGGTTACATCTTCGTTATCATAACATTATTAATATGCAAAAACTAACGGTATGATTGTGGATATCGTATACATGTTTCCATTGTAGATAAAGATACGCAGTAGATAATCTACTATCACAGACTTTGATGAGCAGTCCCGCAGGGAAGCCACTTGAGAACATTTATCATAAATACATGGTAATTATCAGGCTAGAGTAAATATTTAAATTTTTGGGGAAAGAGAAAACAGAATAGAATTCCTGCATCAGTTTCAACAAAAGGAGATTAAATAGATCAAAGTAGAATGCTTACGTCCCATTGTTCTCATGGCGGCAGTGATGATCAATTGCAAACTGAGAAACATTAAAACATAATCGTCTTTTTTTCCCTTTAAACGACAAACTTTATCTTTTTTAAAAGAATATGTAAAAACGCGTTAAAAATTAGTATTTAAATACAAGATAAATTTTTCTCCCTTTACCTTTACCGTGTCCTTCTTTATTTTTTTATTTTTATTACTATTTTCGTCAAATCTCTGAGCATTTTTTTGGGCATGCTTATCTCAGGTGCACGATATTTCTTTTAGTTTATGGCATTACATTTTCCGTTTTTCACTATTAAACTAGAGCTAAGTTCATATTTGTGCCGACAAAGACTACCCCGTTGATTCAGCTGATTATAATTTTATATTTTAAATTTTCAAATATTTTCATTCAATTAAATGACAAAAATGTTCTTAAACTTTCTTAATAGTACTCAGTTATTGTCTAAAACGAAATATTTTCAAATTCTTTAAAGTTTATTGATTTTGACCATTCAAATGCAATACCTTTAACTAAAACAAAGTTTTTAAAATCGAACAAAAGATCAAACACCTATCGTTAATCTGATGGATTAGGATACAAGTGTCTAAATCTGAAATTAGGAAAACAATTACGGAAATCTTATTTCGAATTTTCAAGTTGTTTGGTTACACTTAAGTTAAAGTAATGTTACAGTTAAAAAGTAAATACTTAAGAAGTTCGTAAATACCTGTTTTTATAAATCGATGTATTTAAGGAAAACAAGTGTTTAATCAAGTTCATTATACCGCTTACCATGTAAACACAAAGTGTTACAACCAAGTGTTGGCATAAATAAATATTTTCCTTCACATAAATTTCTCTTATTCTTAAAAATGTACCGTTATTATCAATTCACATCTTTCTTGAAATTCATGGTAGGTACTTCAGAATTCACATCATCCAGTCTGTGGTTAAAACTTCAAAATTATATTACTTCAAATGATTTTCGATTGCTAACAAATGGCAACAACCTGCTGCTCAAATAACAAACAAATTAATTAAATGTTGTAATTTCATGTCTAAAAAATAAGTTTAAGAGACAAGAAAAACTACAGGAATGCATTAATTAAGACTATAGAAGTGTATACACAGAATTGAATTGTAAAAATCATTTTGTTTGATTAATTGATGGTTTTTTATTTATCGTGCAGTGGCAAATATTTCATGCATATTCAGGACAAGATATTGTTTAAAGATTTCACATAAATGTATCGGGACAAGCCAATGTATGTTTAGTAGAAAAGATAAATTAATATGGGCAAGTGACTTCTTATTTTTATTTTTCTAATTTGTTTTGACTAAAATCAACAAATGTGTGGGACTTATAGTATATAAAAATAAGGAGATGTGGTATGATTGCCAATGAAACAACTATCCACCAAAGTTCAAATGAAGTGGATGTAAGTAATTATAGGCAACCGTACGGCCTTCAACAATGAGAAAAACCCATACCGTATGGTCGGCTATAAAAGGCCCCGACATGAAAAATATGAAACAATTCAATTGATAAAACTAACGGCCTAATTTATAACAAAACAATTTACGAAAAACAAATATGACAGACATGAACCAATGACAACCGCTGAACTACAGGCTCCTGACTTGGGACAGGCACATAAAGAGTGTGTGTGGGGGGGGGGGGGGGGGGGTAAACATGTTTGTGAGCGCTCAACCCCCTCTAACCTGAGACAGTGGTGTAACAGTACAACATAAGAACAAACTATAAAAAATCTGTTGAAAAAGGCTTAACTCATCAGATGAATTCAAATGGAAATACATCTAACAAAAATACAGAGCGGACGTGGACGGGTACTTATACATCCACACAACAAAAAGACTCTAAGTACAGATTTGAGAGTACTCGCAGTTACGGACAATAACAACTAATAAAAAAAATCATGTATCTAAGAATAAAATATGTTCTTTTTTAGTTATTGTTTTCTCTTTTCATGAGTCTTATATATTAGTTTTAATTAATGTAGCGAAAAGGGCTTTTGATGCGACTTTGGGTTTTTGTTTGCGAGTTGCTTTTTTTTTTGGGGGGGGGGGGGGTATTTCATTGAACATATCGTATGCCGCAATTGTTGTTGGCCGGGGAGACCTGTTTGAAGAACAAAACTTGTGCTTATAGAATTTAACAAGCTTGAAGTTCAAGTTTTGGAGAAAAAAATTCGAATAACGTATATATTTTTTTATCATTATTGTTGCAAATAAACAGAACACTCGAGATCAATTCAGATTTTTTTCTGGAAGCGTGAGAAAGATTTTTTTCCGAACTTTTAAGCACGAGATTTTCTGAGATAATATCTCATATTGAAATATGTGATCATAAAACTTTAATTATTTTTATAAAGTGGCCACTTCCTTTTAAACAAAAATGATTTCTTATCTGATTCAGTCAACTAATATTTTGTGTATTTCAAATTAATATCAAACGGTGGTTTGAATTTAAAAATGTGTTAATACACTTGCAACATGGGGAGAAAATATATATTTTTAACAACAAGCAAATTTGAATCAAGGACATGTCCTCAGTTTGGTGCAGCTGAGAACGGTTTGATAGATGCCTTCTTAAATACGATTTCATCAACCTTGGACGGGAGCCATGATAATTGCCAATGAGACAACTATCAACCCATCAAAATGACGTGGATGTGAGCATATAAGTGGTCAAGGTTTGTTTTAGGATCTTGATTAAATTCGATTGTGCTTACAGTTGAAGAAAAATAATTATTATGTCCGTGTTAGTTACTTTTGAAATAAGATGAATTATCAAAAAATAAGATATGGTAATGAGGGGGGGGGGGGGGGGACAATGAACCACGAATTTGGTCGAATACGTGAAATTTCAAGTTGAATCATTTCATTTGAAAGTTACTAATCTTCATAACTCTCAATTCTATTTTAATAAGATGCGAAGTAGTTCGGAAAAATATCACTTTTATTTGCAGAAAATAATAAAGTTACAAGAAAGGTGATTAAAAACAGGTGAATAACTCATTTTTCTTTTTAATTTGTGTCAAAAATGGCACCGACACTTATCTATTTTGAGAAGAAATTAACTGAAATGGCAAGGATTCCAGTGGGAAGAAATTTTCAGCTAGTTTGCCACACTTCGTTTTCTTTACATTACTTATGCTTGTCTTTAAACAGTAGGAGGTGCCATAGCGTGAAATTGATTAGTTGTAAATAGCTTCGGTAAACCACGCGTTCTGATTGGTTAATTAAAGGACAACGTAATGGTTCTCATCAGAAACACTTTCTCTCCAACAGAGTTATTACTTATATTATATGAGAAAAAAATTGGGACTGTCATTTTTTATTTTATATTCCGTCAAATAAACATCGTATCGAAAAAATAAACTTGACAACAACAACTACAAAAAAACCAATAGTTTTTAAAAGGAATTAGTCAACAGAACACAGAAAATAAATTCTGGTAAGTCAATTTAAAGTGAATTAATTATACATTTATTTTTCAATTTATTCATTGCAATATTTGTTACTTTACTTGTGGGAATTATTTTTTAACACTTGATTCGACTTTTGGGAACTGCAGACTATAGATAGTAGTGCGGTAACCGTTCATTGTGTTTAATCATCTTTTTATATGAAATTCTTATTTGCATAATATATGTCATCGAAAAGAAAATAATTACGTACACAAATTAACAATTTGTTATGGTAACTAAAATTATTAATAAATTCCTTTCTCTCTTTCTATATGTAACACAGAATAATTACAAGATTCACGGAATAAAGATAATTATTATATTAAAAACTCTTGTGTCATTGTGCACTTTTAATGAATTCTAATGAACACATTGAATGGTTGGAAGAAGATTTATTGATAGTAAAAATTTCCAGGACAATATGTATTATCTTTATTAATAGTAATAATATCATTATTGTTCTTATTATAATTATTTCTACCGTTTAAAGTTTATAATATTTTTTTCCGTAGATTTCAATAAGAAATTAAGTCAAAAGTTCTTTTCGCGAAAAATGACAATTTCCAAATATTATTCAAATCATATCGAAGCTACATCAGCCTTTGAGTTTATGTAAAAGTGACTCAGATGTACAGATATTAAGAGTGGCAAACTGTTGTTGTTTTTGCAGATGTTGTGTTGTTGTTTTTGCAGTTGTCGTGTTGGATTTTTATTTTGCTGTCATTGTGTTTTAGTTTTTTCTGCCGTTGCTGTGTTGTTTTTCTTTGTAGTTGTTGATTATTTAATGTGAAATATTTGATATTGCCATTTGTCTATTATTTATTATTTAATTTTTATAGAAAATTGTGTAGCAGAAACAGTAATAGAGGCGCGATGCCAGAAGAAGAAAACGCAAGTAGCAGAGCCGAAAGAAGAAAACGGGATCCAATTGGTCAAATACTCGACTTGTTAAGTAACTCTAATCATAGAACCACAACAACAGACCATTCGGTTATATCATCTGTCCAGTCATTAAATTCGTCCGCAGATGACTCACCATTATCTTCTGCATCAGTTGTATCGTCTGCCAAGTCGAGTGTGTCGTCTGTCCAGTCGGTTGTTTCGCCTTCTTTTCCAACAATGCCATCTTCTAGCAAAGAGAAAAACAACAATATCCAACCAGTTAAGCACAACAAAAACGAACATGGACACAAAAACTCAATGCAAAATAGCTTCGCAACACCGTTTGAAAAACAATACAATGATGAACCAGTAGTCCATGATGAAAGTAGTGCATTTCAGCCATTTTCAAAGAACATGCAGAACGTATCAAACGGATTCACCAATGATAACTATTCATATTGCGTACAAAAAGGTTTTGCAATGATGAATAACTATGCAGCCGCACACATGCATACATCTCAAAGTGCAATGATTCCATTTACTGCAGGAAACGTTCCAGTTCCGGTAACAGCAGGACATTTGTATGGAATTTCCGGATATTCTTTACCGTACACAAACATTCCGAACACAATAACGCAGACAACTGTGCCACAAGTAGGATATCCGTTCCCACATAGCTGTGGACTTTTCTCAAATTTTGACGTCACCAGAAATATAAACATGTTTTCATGGCTGGACAAGAAAATTGGAAGCGATAGTTCTTTCAATCCGGCATGCATTCTTAATTCTGAAAATACAGGAAACCATGTGACGCATACACCACCAAGGTACCAATGCGATTCTTGCAAAAAGAGCTATTCAACATATGGCGGCCTATCGAAACATAAACAGTTTCATTGTGTTAATCAGGTGAAAAAGGAATTTAGTTGCAAGTTTTGTGGTAAATGTTACGGTTCGCTTGGTGCTCTGAAGATGCACATCAGGACTCATACTTTACCTTGTAAGTGCAAAATTTGCGGTAAAGCGTTTTCGCGACCATGGCTTTTGCAAGGACACATTCGTACTCATACAGGAGAAAAACCATTCAGGTGTGACCACTGTAGTCGAGCATTTGCAGACCGTTCAAACCTCAGAGCGCATCTACAAACACATTCTGAAATTAAAAAATACGGATGCAAAAGTTGTAATAAAACATTTTCTAGAATGTCCCTACTTGTTAAACACAAAGAAAATCATTGTTATAGATAAATTGTGTTTAATTGTCAACTGTTTAATTTGATTCATATATATATAGATGAAATATTTGTAATAAAAATATAATTTAATTAAAATTTAGTGCTACAAATAATTTTGTTTAATTTCTGAAAGCACAAAGTCTTTAGAAATACGCATGTTTATACATATTATGTTATCCGTATGCTAAATGTATAGTACTTCTTAAGGCTTAATTTGATATTCTAAAGCATGGACCTTGTACATACATGAGAGGTTTCTATTATAATGAAAAAAATCATAATTTCACAATTAAACTTTTTTTCATACTTTCACTAAAGATGAAGTGGACCAATCTGAATACATTTAACTAAAAAAACTATAGGTTGGTGTTAAAATAAGAAAGTTTATAAAATGTTGTTGCTTTTTCGTGTCAAATTTACCATGCTGTCAATTTTGTAAATTTTGGATTATTCTCTTCTTTTTTTTTTATAACAAAAACATATTATTTCAAATTCTTTGTTATAAATGATCGAAAAAAATACATATCTAAGAACTTTGAAAAGAAAGAGTTGATATGGGATGTACATATGTTTGGTAAAATCATTTGTTTGTACCCTCAACTATTTTCTCAACATTTTGGCTGATAACACTGACCAGATTGGTTATAAAATTTGAAAATTTTATTACTCAAAAACTACTTATTGTAAGTACACAATTTTTTCACAGAGTTTAGCTTGATTATAATATTGTTTATATTCATTGAAATTTTCCACTTGAATCACATGTTTTGGAAATAATTCCCGAACGAGATTTCAACGAGACTGAAACCTCAGAAGAATACATCCTTAAATGTGAGATTAATGAAAGTACTGCAAAATTAACTGAATTCGTTAATGTGGACATTTGAAATCGATTTCAAAATATAAAAAAAAAAACAACAACAGAAATTAGATATTGCTTTATTGAGAAACTTACAAGAACAAATTAAAGAATTCGCGATAACTCATTACCAAAAATTATGAAGAATAAACCCATTTTTGATATTTTAAAACAGATTAGATATATTTCCGACTTTGCATACATTTATAAATCCCTTATCACAAATCCGTTTTTTACAAGTTTGATGAATTCATTATTAGCAATTCTGAAATTTTAAAATACAGAAGAAATTAAAAAAAGATGCACTTTTGAATTGAAGAACTCGTAATAAAAAAAATCCGAAACGCGACTTAAAACCTTCGAATTAACAAATTAAATTCGTAATAACAATTGAAATAAAAATAAAAAGATGTGGTATGACAACTCCCCACAAGAGACCAAACGACACAGAAATTAACAACGGAATATATAAACAATTTATAAAATAGTCGAAGAATTCTTATAAAAACTAGATTGAACAGCCCGACAGAAAGACGTTAGTAAAACAAGGCAGACATATAACAAACACTGGTCCGAGAAAACAGTTATCGTAGTGCATTAAGTTAATTTTTTAAATGTGATTCCTTAAATAGGCCCTTCATTAATTAAATCATCAGACAGACAGTCTCTGTTGAGGATAAATTTTCTGTTTCTTCATAAAAATGATCCATGATCGGAATTAAATTTTTATATATTATAGAATTTTCTATAGCTTGTCTGCTTCCCTTTTTTTTTAAAACGACCACCAAATCCTCAATTTCCCCCAATTAAATACTCCACAGAAAATCAAAACAATCGGGGTTTCGTAGCCTTTTAACTTTATATTTTCATTATAGGTTTTGTACATTAAAAGAATTCTAAGAGCAGATGTAACCGATATTTATTTACTTTTTGTTTGATTGAAATTAGCATCTCCAAAATAGACAGGAGATAATGGCAGCACAGCTCACAAAAAGATACACATGTACCTTGAAAAGTTAATAGTGTTATATAAGGGAACCCAGAAATTAATTTGGATAAAAAATGAGGTGCACAATGGGATTTTATTTGGTAAATTTTCTAAGAAAGTTTCATTTAATTCTGATTAGGGTTTAGAACGGGAACAATGAATGCAAATGTGTACTGTAGCCAGTTTGCAGATATAACAAAGTCCATGTCATGCCAAAGTAAACCAATGAAGAAGAAAAAAAATTCAGATGAACAAAATTGAGTCAAATTCTGTGAAAGTTTCATAAAATTCTGTAACGCTGTTTAAATATGAAGAATAATGGACAAAATAAATAAAAAATATATATAGAATGGCATTTTTGTTTTTGATACTGACTTTATCAGTAAGAATATCAAGCGATCCCGCCGTTAGGGCGAGCTGATATTCGAGCTGATGAAGTCAGTATAAAAAAATAAAATGTCATTATTCTTTTTATCGGAAATTTTTCTTAACAATAGTTTCTTTTTTTTTGGTTGAGAATATGAAATAAAGTGAAATAGTTAGTAAAACTATATTTACGCGTACAAATCGTTGTGGTAGTTATTCGGTCGTATGAACGAAAAAGAGAGGCGAAAGATACCAGAGGGACATTCAAACTCATTATTCGAAAATAAATTGACAACGCCATGGCTAAAAAAAGAAAAAGACCAACAGACAAACAATAGTAAACAAAACACAAAAAGGAACATAGAAAACTGAAGACTGAGCTACACGAACCCCACCAAAAACTGTGAGTGATCTCAGGTGCTCCGGAAGGGTAGGCAGATCCTGCTCCACATGTGGCACCCGTCGTGTTGCTCATGTTAGTACAAACCCGGTAATAAGCCCAATTCGGTAGGTCACATTCGGAAAAAAGGGAACATAAGAAACATATCCGCTATCATCTGTGAAACTCGAGATGGCGTCCGTTAAACTTACGAAAGGATGATTTCAGCTTCACCACATGGAACTTTTGGTTTAATAGCTTCCTTGTGAGCAGCAACCCTCTATCAAGGAAATCATGATAGGAAAAACAAGCCCTAGAATATCGTATCAACTGGGAGATATATATATCTATTATATTGTTTGTTATCTATATCAACCACACTTGCATTATAATGCATTATATATTTAAAATTATAGGTTCTTTATCTATATATTATTTTAAGAACTTAAATTGTTCTTTGTTTTGTTTTTTGTTTTTTGTTTTTTATCTCATTGTTTGTATTGTATTGTGAAAATTATTGATGTTGTAATGTGTATGTCCTTTTGGGCCCATAATTGGAAATATAATATTCTTCATTTATACTCCGTATGCAGGCGCTGCTGGAATGTTGCTACATAGAAATGGAAAGTTCACAATTTGGAAGCTGAAATCGTCTCTTTTGTCGTAAAGTTTAGTTTTCAACCGACCCTCATTGTCAATTTCTATATGTTAGTCAAGATATGAGGCAGACTTAACTGTATCTGTTGTATCCTGTATCTCAAGTTCGATGGGATAGATGCGTTCAACATAGTCACCAAATTATTTAGTGAGAGAACATTGCTCTATATAGCGGAAAGTATAGTTAAAGGATACTGCTAACTTCTTTCCTTTCTTCCTAAGAAGTTCCTGTATGAAGTCAGCCTCCTATGAATAAAGGTACAAGTCGGCAAGAAGAGGGGCACAGTTTGTTCCCATGGGAATGCCGATTGTTTGTCGCGTGCATTTCATTGATAAATTGACGCGGATTGACATGAAAACGCGACGTTGCTGTACTGATATGTGACGTCGTTGCCTAATATTTTCGAGTATCAGGTCCTGTCCATGATCTTAAAAAAAAATAGGCATTAAGATCAAAGGGAAAATGCACAAATTGCCGATAAAGAGAATTATGGCCTTAAAATCAAAGAATACAGAAATGAAGACTCCCTTCCCGACCCTCATTAATTTTGCTCATTGCTTTGTCACAATCTTATAACGAGTGTATCGATTTAAACAGTTATATCGTTTTAAGAGAACAGGGGCCTGTTTATCGAAACTGTCCTAAGATCGGTCCTAAGAATTTCTTAGGACAGAAATTAGGATAAAGTTAGGACCGACTTACGACATGTCTCAGCATGCACATCGAAGCTATCTTAGGATTATCTTAGCTAGGATGTCCTAACCGCTGTCCTAAGTATTGGCGTAAAAGAAAATAACAAATTAAAAATGAAAAAATGAAAATATTGTATCAAATTTAACCAATAACTATAATTTAAAAAAAAAGATAAATAATTAGAAAATAATCATTAGTTTTAAATTAAAGGTGATAAATACTTTTTATATTATAATTGTACATTTAAACTCATAAAAAAAAATAAGACAAAAAATATAACCACGCTTTATATAAGAATTGAACAAACGAATTGTAAATAGTTAAAATAAAATATATAATCGGCAAAATCATTATATGCTTTGAGCTTTGAGTGAGCTGAATTCGAAGTGTCACGGTTTCATACTTAAAAGTTCAAAGGCAAATCTCGTGCAACTTTCATATAAATACTGAGTACTTCAACTATTTTATTACTGCAAATAACATGCGATGATACGTGTGAATATAAGAGACGAAATTCGAATTCTACCGATGCCAAACTACAGACTCTCCTGGACGACGTGGACAAGAGAAACACTTTGCTTTTTGGTAAATTGCAAAATGTTGCAACAAATGGTGCTGAAAAGAGGGATAGGAATTTAATATGCATTAAGGGAACTTTTATTGGGGGGACTAGGATGATATTTGAAAAAAAGGCAGGACAGGAGTTTGGAGTAAAAAAAAAAGGCAGAATGAGCAACTTTGCAAAAAAAAAGGCAGGATGACAATTTACATGTATGTAAAAAAAAGTCAGGATAAACTAATAAAAAAAGGCAGGACCGAATAGAGCGAAAAATAAAAAGGAAGGACAGAGATTACAAAAAAAAAAAAAGCAGAACAACATTTTCATCCTAGCCCTCCCCCCTCCCCCGGTCATAAAAATCAAATGGTAGTTCCCTAAAGTAAATGCAACCAATACAGGCCATATTTGTGTATATAAAATAACCATCCTAAATATATCCTAAAGTTAGGACCATTCTAAGACCATCTTAAGACACCTAAATTGGTATCCTAAAGTTAGGACAATTCCTAGGATTTTCCTAAGTTACGACATGTTTGATAAACCCACTTAG